ATTTACCTGGGAGGGCGAATGTTGTCGCCGACGCTCTGTCAAGAAATATAGCACCAGTTATGCCTGTATCAGCATTCACTCTTTCGCAGCTGGAAGATGAGCAACGACGCGACCCATATTGGTCAGCTGTTATTTTTGCTCTCGAATCGGGCGAGGATGTTAAACTCCCCAAGTTATTTCTTCCCTTAAGTCAGTCTGAATTACGACATAACATACTCAATAGGACGAGAAAATCTCCTGAGGGTAATGTGTCTCAAATAGTCGTACCTGACACGTTGCGCAAAGCAGTAATGACAGTGTTCCACGATGTCCCACAAGCAGGTCACCAAGGTCGTGATAAATGCTTAGCGGATTTACCAAAGAAGTATTTCTGGAACACTATGAAGAAAGACATAGAATTACACATAGCTAATTGTTTGGCATGTGCTCAACATAAAAGATCGACAGGATCACCTGCTCCGATTCTACAATATCCTACACCAGACCGTCCGTTTGACACAGTCGCTGTTGATGTGTTACAACTCCCAATGAGTCATCAGGGATCAGGATACGTCTTAGTGTGTGTGGATCATTTTTCCAGGTTCGTGGTCTTGATCCCACTAAAAAGCAAACGGCCGAAGCAGTAGCCTATGCATTAGTGATGAATCTCATATGTCCATATACTACGCCTAAAGTTCTACTCTCTGATAATGGAACAGAGTTCAAGAATGAGCTAATAGAGCATATATGTTTACAATATGGAATTAAACAAACTTTTGTGACAGCTTATCATCCACAGGCTAATGGCCTTGTTGAAAGAACCAATCGTAAAATCCTAGAAATACTGCGTCCAATCGTTAATGGTTTTCAATACGCATGGGAGGATTGGTTACCGCAGGTTGCAGCGTCGATTAATGGGTCAGTTAATAGCTCTACGGGCAAAACACCCTACTATATTGTCTATGGCACAGATAAACGTCTGCCTTACGACATCCTTACAGAGGCGCCATACCCGGTATATAATACGGATGATTTTGCGGCAAAACAAATTCATGTCTTTACAGAAATTCATAACCAAGTACGATCACAGCTAGCGGCGTCACGCGCCGAAATGAACATCAAACAACATAAACATGCTAAACCTATCGCACTGAACGTTGGGGACGCTGTTATGTTACAGGTACCTGAAAGGAACTCCAAACTTTCGGCGAAATTTTCTGGTACATTCCGCATAATCTCAAAAGAAGCAGGCAACAAATTCAAAATATGGAAGCCTAATGCACAGATCGCAGATGTCGTGCACGCGGATCGTCTGAAGAAGACCCAGATAAATGTCTTACCTCAAGTTGATGATAATGTGATTGATACATCCTTACAGACTGTTCAGAAGCAAAATGTCCCAAATGACTATTGTATGAAACTACGTTCTGCGAGTAGAAGTTAACTCGTACTTTCGCGTCAGATGGAAAACGTCGACGGCCAACTACAATCAGCATTGGACATTCTTCATGGTCTCAGCACAGCTTCGATGAATTCGATAATAGTTTCATGAACGTTGTCGTTCAAGCTGTATCTCAACAGAATCGTGTTATTTCTCAAACCTTTCACGCGATTACTGCTCTAGAATCAAAGGTTAATGCAATAATAATGGAGTCTAACCAAGTTTCGAGGATTGTTACTAGGTTACAGAAAGCAATCCCGGCGTTAGAATGGCTCCTTTTACTTCACAGAATATTTGCATGCTGCTGAAATTTCAGTTCATAAAATTGTAACCTCTAAAAATGAACTAATAGACAGCATTGTAGATGCCGGGCTAGGACGTGTGGACGCGAAGCTTGTGCCTGTGCAGACGCTTCTTGAAGCTTTAAAAATAGCCAAGTTGCAGTATCATTTAACTCCGATTTTCAATGACAATGAGGTTCAATATCATTACCCACTGTTGGAGTCAACCCTCACGCACAATGCAATTCTGATCCACATTCCTATGCGAGGGCAACATGAGTTTAATGCATGGCATTTAGAACCCTTCTCCTGGTTTGTGAACGACACACTGTATACCCTAGATAGGCCGAAAGAATTTTTCTTAGTAGATGAACAATATTCATTGTTATCAATAGAGGATTCTGAGGTACTGTCACGGTGTAAGTCGTCTTATCTACACCTACACGTATGTCCAGCCTACATTGTTTGCATTTATTCCTGCTGCAGATGGAATATGTGAATTGGCAGTCATACAACCAAATGTACGCACAGCGTTAGCGGAATGCAGTTATAGGCCAGTTAGTCTAAAGACTTGTGTTCCACGCTCACCTTCACAATGTGCAGTATTTGTTCTTTCCAAATCTCACTACTGTAATTTTAAAATGCCAAAATGGTGTTTAGCAGCTAGTTGTGAAAGGGCATTACAAGGCTCCTGATTACTGTGAAATCACTTGTAGTACATTACGGACCTTGCCTACTCATCAGCATTTTGCATTAAATCGAAAACTCAAGTCTGCGTTAATTCCACTTCCTATAATGAATTTCACTATCAAGGATATTCGAATAGTATCAGAGAAATTAAAAGTGTTAGCTTTCTTGAACGAGACACATTTTGCTGATTTGAATAATAACTTGCCATTTTACCTGTCATGGGAATTTGCACTACCAAGTCTTACGATTCCCTCTATTCTGTTAATTCTGGCAATAATGTTCCTGTTCTGTTATTACCGGGTAGTATCATCCAAATTCAACATTGTTCATAACATACTAACCCGTACGACACAAAAGTCTAGGTCCCCTGTAGTAGAGAATACCCCTACAGTAATTTCCCCAGCTTAGTGTCTACATATCTGTTTATAACATGGTTAGGGTTGTCTAGGATGTACTGTACTCTGAGTTATTTAGGCCTCACGGAGCTCGGCTGGTAGGTGACCGAGCGATGTAATAGGCCCCTGTCTCATCAACAGAACGTATTATATAAATGGGTCAATACATCTGATATTATATTCAGATTCACCACCCTGTTACTTTCCACTGTCTATGAGTAACACATGAGATTGACACGTGAGCGGGCAACTTACCCAAGAGGGCGAGACCCATAGCTCAGCATTTCTGTAAGCACGCACTGCGATGCCCCTAAGCTTCAGTAGCTCACCTCAACTCATATCGAAAGGACGTGACCAAACGTTTATCATACATAAACGCCGTCTGTAAAGGCCTGGGACTTAGGGATAGAAATCCCTTACCAGGCTAATCAGGATCTTAATATAGGAAAGTCAAGGACCATGGTTTTCCGAGGAATAACAAACAACCGTTAGAGATTGGCATCTCTTTACTATAAAAATATAACAAAACTCTGACACCACTCAACAAACATCAAATAATTACGGGAGTCAAACAATTTATGGAAGCAACAATTAAAGGAATCAAACAAATAATAGAATCGAACAATAAAGGGGAGTCAGCAATTAATGGAATCAAACAATTAAATGGAGTCAACAATTGATAGAATCGAACAATAAAGGGGAGTCAGCAATTAATGGAATCAAACAATGAACAAATATTTCCTACGGCAGTGGCCCTGGGGGAAGGTTCTGGAACACGGTGATGCACACTCATGGCAGGGAAGCGTCCATTCACTCCACACTCAGCAACGTCTTGAAAAGGCAGGAGAACACCGGGGCACCGACGGAATGTGATGAACTGATGGTCGTGGTATGCGGTAGTGGTAGATGACCAGAGAGTTGGCAGTTGATAGGTGAAGGTCTGGGAACACAGCCCACGAGTCCAGGACCTATGATGAGATCACAGCCAGAATTTGACGGACAGCAGGGTAGCTAGATACTGACGGTATGGCGGCTGGGTTGAATCTGCTCGTGGCGGAGAGGGTTGCTGCCGTTATCACCTCCTTCCAACCACCCCAAGTGTCGTATGCACCAGCAAACGAGCGAGTTAGCAGCGGTAACTAGCCGGAGGATCGTTTCTGCCCTTACACCGTCCCTTTCTCATTCACTCCTAGACAGTGAGACTTACGGTTGATATACACTCAGGAATTATATATACAACCTTTTATAATAAAACAAAGGAACTACTATTTGGGTTTCGTTACTTAAAACCCAAATATAAATATGTGTGAACGGACTGGTTAATTGGACAAGCAGCCGATTCAACATAGGGAGGACATGCTATGTTTATGTATATAATGTGTATGTACAATGTATATGGGAATGTATAATAATAATAATAATAATAATAATAATAATAATTGACGGTTTATTGAAAAAGTTCTGCTGCCCGAAGGCTGAAAATATACATTGGACATAAAAGACTTATTACATACATTGGTGGTTCAACAAAAGCCTTCATTAGAGAAAGGTAAAGGAACATACAGTGAACATACAGATTAATGTAGGTGTTGAACAGCAAACTCGTAGTGTAGTAACTCCCTCCCAGATGGTGTTAGGAGGAACTCACGTGGTGTAGTAGTTCCCTCAGATGGTGTTATGAGGGACCTGGCGTGGTGTAGTAATTCCCTCACAGATGGTGTTATGAGGGGCCTGACGTGGTGTAGTAATTCCCTCACAGATGGTGTGATGAGGGACTTGACGTGGTGTAGTAATTCCCTCACATATGGTGTTATGAGGGACATGTGGTGTAGTAATTCCCTCACAGATGGTGTTATATGAGTGAGGTTTGGTCCCAGGCCTTCCTATCGTAGACGGATTAACACATCGGTGGTTGTTGTTGGGTCTCGCGGGGGCCGTTATCACTGGGTACCTGGGACCTCACTGTGTGAAGGTTAACTTGGGTACGACTGTTACTGTTGAGTTGACCTCACTGTGTGAAGGTTAACTTGGGTACGACTGTTACTGTTGAGTTGTTCTCACTGACTTAAGCACTGTTCACCACTGTTCACCTCTGTTTAACACTGGTTCCGTTCCTTTCCTAAATGAAATTGTAACTTCTGGTGAGAACTTGTTGATATTCCGGTGGGGAGGAGAGTTCAGGGGAGGGGGTTGGTATGGGCCAACTTAACAAGAGTGAGGCTAGTAGAGTATTAGCACTAGTCGACGACATAAGTAAGTACCTAGGAAACGACCAGAAGCCGACCAGTGGACATCAACCAGTGGCTACACCAGCCCATATGTCTACACCGACGCACATGTCTACACCAGCCCATATGTCTACACCAGGAAGCACATGTCTACACCAGCCCATATGTCTACACCGACGCACATGTCTACACCAGCCCATATGTCTACACCGACGCACATGTCTACACCAGCCCATATGTCTACACCGACGCACATGTCTACACCGACTCATATGTCTACACCGACGCACATAGCCAATAGTTACCAGTAAGTTGCTTGTTTAATAGTTACTTTAGATAGATACTGTAGATATAGATACTTTAGATATAGATACTGTACATATACTGTAGATACTTTAGATAGATATCCACCATAATTTACTCCCTACATTGCTACAGGCGAGAAGACACAGTCGATAATACAATCAACATGGGGGTACCAGGTGGTGCCGAGGCAGTCTACAGTCAGTCGTCTACGCCCCGGGCACAGTCAGTCTCTCAAGCAGCTGCGGCAGTCTGTTGTCAACACCAGAGGGTATGACGTGGTGGTGGTTGTTGTTGTGGGGAGGGAAGGATTGGGGTACTGGAGGGGAGTGTTAAGGGAGGGAAGGGATTGGGGTACTGGTGGGGTGTGTTAGGGGATGGAAGGATTGGGGTACTGGTGGAGAGTGTTAGGGGAGGGAAGGATTGGGGTACTGGTGGAGAGTGTTAGGGGAGGGAAGGATTGGGGTACTGGAGGGGTGTGTTAGGGAGGGAAGGATGGGGTACTGGGGTACTGAGTGTTAGGGGAGGGAAGGATTGGGGTACTGGAGGGGAGTGTTAGGGGAGGGAAGGATTGGGGTACTGAGAGGGGAGGAAGGATTGGGGTACTGGAGGGGTGTGTTAGGGGAGGGAAGGATTGGGGGTACTGGAGGGGTGTGTTAGGGGAGGGAAGGGATGGGGTACTGGAGAGTGTTAGGAGGGAAGGGAGGGTACTGGAGGGGAGGAAGGATTGGGGTACTGGAGGGTGTGTTAGGGGAGGGAAGGATTGGGGTACTGGAGGGGTTAGGGGGGAGGAAGGATTGGGGCATTGGGGGGTACTGGAGGGTGTGTTAGGGAGGAAGGATTGGGGTACTGGAGGGTGTGTGTTAGGGGAGGGAAGGATTGGGGTACTGGGGAGGAGGGAGGGAAGGCATGGGGGTACTGGAGGGGGAGTGTTAGGGGAGGGAAGGATTGGGGTACTGGAGGGGAGTGTTAGGGGAGGGAAGGATTGGGGTACTGGAGGGAGTGTTAGGGGGAGGGAAGGATTGGGGTACTGGGGAGGGAGGGAAGGATTGGGGTACTGACGTTAGGGAGGGAAGGATTGGGGTACTGGTTAGGGAAGGATTGGAGGGGAGTGTTAGGGGGAGGAAGGGGGTACTGGAGGGGAGGTTAGGGGAGGGAAGGATTGGGGTACTGAGGGAAGGATTGGGGTACTGGAGGGAGTGTTAGGGGAGGGAAGGATTGGGGTACGAGGAAGGATTGGGGGTACTGGAGGGAGTGTTAGGAGGAAGGATTGGGGTACTGGAGGGAAGGATTGGGGTACTGGAGGGGAGTGTTAGGGGAGGGAATGATTGGGGTACTGGAGGGAAGGTTTGGGGTACTGGAGGGAAGGATTGGGGTACTGGAGGGGAGTGTTAGGGGAGGGAAGGATTGGGGTACTGGAGGGAAGGATTGGGGTACTAGAGGGGAGTGTTAGGTTAGGTTAGTGTTAGGTTGTAATCTAATAGACCCTCTATATAATGAACTCTCCTCATAGTCCAGTAAATCGAGGTTTCACAACAAATAGCAAAATGACTTATTAATTTCTATCAATTTTACAGCAAGTCAGTGGCAGCCCGGGACTAAACTTTTCATACCGGGACAAAAACGCATCGAACGACCTGTACACTAACGATGATTACGTCCTGATTACGGCTTTCGACCATCAGACGGAACCAGAGAACTTCATGTTTCCATCTGTGTACGTCTCTCTCTCTCTCTCTCTCTCTCTCTCTCTCTCTCTCTCTCTTTGCAGCCATCTGTCAGTTATTACATAAATACAGTATTACCATAGCTGAAAATAATTGTAAGCTTAGATTAAGATTTTTTGCCAGCTTAGATGAAAATAATTATAAGCTTAGATCAATTTTGGGAGGTCAAGCTTAGAAAAATAATGCAAGCTTAGATCAATTTTGGAAGGACAAGCTTAGAAAAATAATTACAAGCTTAGATCAATTTTGGGAGGACAAGCTTAGAAAAGTAATTACAAGCTTAGATCAATTTTGGGAGGACAAGCTTAGAAAAATAATTACAAGCTTAGATCAATTTTGGGAGGACAAGCTTAGAAAAATAATTACAAGCTTAGATCGATTTAGAGGACAAACTTCGATAAAAAATATATCCCATATTTACAAATCTTTACAGCGAGGCAAACAACAATAACATTCAGCTGCAAGACGTCAACCAGATCAACGGCAATACGTGTTACATGACTGAGGGGTCGACTGGATCACCTTTTCGTCAGGGAGGGTTTACGGGGCAACCTCACTCTGCCGCCGCCCACCAGCAGCAGCCTGTGAGAGGTCATCTATATCAACCTCCTCGGCTCCTTCCTAGGTACGTTGGGTGGGTTGGGTGGGGTGTGGAGGTGGGTTGGGTGGGGTGTGGAGGTGGGTGTGTTTTGTTGGGGTACAGTATAATATAATCTGACTGGTACCTTTTATAACATTACACTCATAACAATATACCTGTATTTGCTAAGTGAAATAATGTTCCAAAATTACAACAACCAATGATTTACCTTCTATAAATAACCAATTAATTCTTTTCGATTTAGTAAAGATTATAATTTATTTACTAATGATTCATACAGTACAGGTAGCTATATATATATTAACTAGTGATTGTGTATAAAATATTAGTGGTATTTATTTGATTTTATGACCATTATAGAAGCACGGCATTGGCGTCGAGGAGCCATTCCGTCACTGGGTTACCGACGCCTATGGAAAGACACGGTTTGTATCACGACGAATGCTCTGAGTTATACCGCTATATGGATTCCTGCTCGCACCAGATACACGCCTTGTGTATGGAGAGTGAGAACAACACTCAGGGCTCCCAGACGTCGATCTCCCAGCTGTCGAATATCGCCTCATCGGGATACCAGAGCTTCGCCTATTCCCAGTCTTCCTCCCCTGTTGATCCCCTCCTACACACTGACAATTCGAGCTTGTTGTCTCGTGAGAATGGGAATCCTGGTGTACTGGGGTTGAGACAAGTTCTCCACGCGTCCCCTTTAGGTGAGTTTTCAATATATCAAAGCTTTTATATTTCGATCAGATTTGTGATATTTAAATGCATTTTTTGACTTGCTAGGTTCATCAATCAAAGCTTAAGATATTATATGCTAGCTTATAGGGATAAAATGCCTTATCAATCGCTGGAGTAATTGCTCACTTCCCTCTATCACCCTGTAATGGAGTTATTTGATATCTTCCTTCCCAATCAACAGTGATTATGCTTGTTAATCTGCTTATGTGTGTGTGTGTGGTTGTTTCCTGTAGCCTCGCCTCTGCATCTCCCAGCTACCACCACTAGGCATCGCGCCGTGGCTGTACATCTGGCTTACTTAGGTCACGCCGGTCACGTGTCGCTTCATGGTACGCCTAGACACAATCCCAAAGTCACTCAGCCTCAAGGTACATTGTGGACCTTCTGTAATGCCCCTGAGTATAGTACAGTAATTCAGTGTCCCATCTATGCTGTAGTTAGATTATATACCTCTACGTGAAGTAATTATATATGAAACAAAAATGACTAAGTTATTATCCATAAATGCTAGTATACTATTAAGTAGACATCAAATAGCTTATAGTAATAGGAGACGCGGGTATTGATTGTCACTTCCTACTTGTTGTGGTACGAAGGCGGTCCGTATAGCAGCCTCAGCACCTCCCAGAGTGTAGAGGACCTCACGTCCCTAAGTCGAGGCCGCACACGCCAACGCCGCTCTGCTTCATCCTCTTCCGATTCCTCCCCTGACTCCCGACCTTCCTCACGCTCTCACGCCCATTCTCGCCGCCCCCACGCCCACCCTCCCCGCTCCAATCCCCACTGCTCTCCTTGCTTGGCACCGTCTCCCGCGTTGAGGCAGGAGCTAAGAGCCAGATCACATCATGAGCGGAGCATTAGCGGAAGAAGGGGAAGGAATTATAGGTGAGTCGACGTCTGCCAACACATGTAGAAGTTATACCAATGGAAGTATTATGTTGCTTATATAATTATGCCTCTCAAACCTTATATAATTGAAGCTTAATTATGCCTCTCAGATCTCATATAATTGAAGCTTAATTATGCCTCTCAGAGCTCATATAACTGAAGCATTATGTGAACATTTATCATCACATCTCATAAAAAACATCTTATATATTACAGATAAAACTTGATAGAACAAGTGTGTATTTCTTGACACTTTCTAGTACAGGTATAAGATAAATCCTTAACTACTTTTGTATGGATGCCCCTGTAGTGAAGATGTTAGTGGTAATAGTCTACTAACACCTTATGTATGGGGTCACCTCTGTTGTTAACCAAATATTAAAAGTGTCGTCCCTGTAGTGAAGATGTTAGTGGTGATAGTCTACTAACACCTTATGTATGGGGTCACCTCTGTTGTTAACCAAATATTAAAAGTGTCGTCCCTGTAGTGAAGGTGTTAGTGGTGATAGTCTACTAACACCTTGTGTATGGGGTCACCTCTGTTGTTAACCATATATTAAAAGTGTCGTCCCTGTAGTGAAGATGTTAGTGGTGATAGTCTACTAACACCTTATGTATGGGGTCACCTCTGTTGTTAACCAAATATTAAAAGTGTCGTCCCTGTAGTGAAGATGTTAGTGGTGATAGTCTACTAACACCTTATGTATGGGGTCACCTCTGTTGTTAACCAAATATTAAAAGTGTCGTCCCTGTAGTGAAGATGTTAGTGGTGATAGTCTACTAACACCTTATGTATGGGGTCACCTCTGTTGTTAACCAAATATTAAAAGTGTCGTCCCTGTAGTGAAGATGTTAGTGGTGATAGTCTACTCACACCTTATGTATGGGGTTACCTCTGTTGTTAACCAAATATTAAAAGTGTCGTCCCTGTAGTGAAGGTGATAGTGGTGATAGTCTACTAACACCTTGTGTTTGGGGTCACCTCTGTTGTTAACCAAATATTAAAAGTGTCGTCCCTGTAGTGAAGATGTTAGTGGTGATAGTCTACTCACACCTTATGTATGGGGTCACCTCTGTTGTTAACCAAATATTAAAAGTGTCGTCCCTGTAGTGAAGGTGTTAGTGGTGATAGTCTACTAACACCTTGTGTTTGGGGTCACCTCTGTTGTTAACCAAATATTAAAAGTGTCGTCCCTGTAGTGAAGGTGTTAGTGGTGATAGTCTACTAACACCTTGTGTATGGGGTCACCTCTGTTGTTAACCAAATATTAAAAGTGTCGTCCCTGTAGTGAAGATGTTAGTGGTGATAGTCTACTCACACCTTATGTATGGGGTCACCTCTGTTGTTAACCAAATATTAAAAGTGTCGTCCCTGTAGTGAAGATGTTAGTGGTGATAGTCTACTAACACCTTATGTATGGGGTCACCTCTGTTGTTAACCAAATATTAAAAGTGTCGTCCCTGTAGTGAAGATGTTAGTGGTGATAGTCTACTAACACCTTGTGTATGGGGTCACCTCTGTTGTTAACCAAATATTAAAAGTGTCGTCCCTGTAGTGAAGGTGTTAGTGGTGATAGTCTACTAACACCTTGTGTATGGGGTCACCTCTGTTGTTAACCATATATTAAAAGTGTCGTCCCTGTAGTGAAGGTGTTAGTGGTGATAGTCTACTAACACCTTGTGTATGGGGTCACCTCTGTTGTTAACCAAATATTAAAAGTGTCGTCCCTGTAGTGAAGGTGTTAGTGGTGATAGTCTACTAACACCTTGTGTATGGGGTCACCTCTGTTGTTAACCAAATATTAAAAGTGTCGTCCCTGTAGTGAAGGTGTTTGTGGTGATAGTCTACTAACACCTTGTGTATGGGGTCACCTCTGTTGTTAACCAAATATTAAAAGTGTCGTCCTTGTAGTGAAGATGTTAGTGGTGATAGTCTACTAACACCTTATGTATGGGGTCACCTCTGTTGTTAACCAAATATTAAAAGTGTCGTCCCTGTAGTGAAGGTGTTAGTGGTGATAGTCTACTAACACCTTATGTATGGGGTCACCTCTGTTGTTAACCAAATATTAAAAGTGTCGTCCCTGTAGTGAAGGTGTTTGTGGTGATAGTCTACTAACACCTTGTGTATGGGGTCACCTCTGAGCTGAATAAAATCATTTGTCATTAACTTCACCTAAACGACTTTTAAAAACATAACTCTAATTTTAGATCCTGCGACAGAGAGGACTTCCCCCGAGGACCCTCCCACTGTTACCAGGACTCCGAGGATGATGTAAATACGTGGTGTTCAGGAGGGAACAGTGTGGGCAGCTGGTCGAAGGATGTGAGACGCATTACCCAGTACCAGACGCCCCACACTACGGCTCCACCTCAAGTACTGGACCAGCAGGAAGTTCAAATGAGAGTTATTGTTGAGAGGTAAACAAACGGACGTAAACACAGACGTTATTCTCTTATATCTAGAGTTAAATAAGAGTTAAACCTCGATATAATGGACTTTCATCTCTATACAGTTCGTTAGAAGGAGGTTTCACATCTAATGGACCCTCGATATAACAAACTCTCATCTCTATATAGTTCATATCAACAGACTCATCACACACCAAATCTCTTGCTACATCACAATTCCTCTCTTATTTCCTCAGGTTAATGAATATGGAACAAGAGTTTCGCCACGAACAAGAGGTGATGCGTAGAGAAATGCACAACAAAGACGCCCGCATTGACGCCCAGGCCAAGAAGATCGCTGCCTTGGATTGCGCAAACACCCAGCTCGTCCGCACGATCGCTTCGCTTAATACACGGTTTGTGATGACATACATTTGTGTAGGTGTTTGTAAACTCTGGTATGTATACAGGTTAATATGTATACGGTTGTCGTCATTCATGCAGTTGGTATTTGTATGACTGGTTATACATATATAGCATTTGTCTTTGGTTATACATATACATGGCATTTTTTACCATCATAAATTCTGTAGGCCCTGGGCAAAGCAATATCCTGGAGCCCCTACCCTCCCACTCAAATGAAAACTAAAACTTTCAGTAAAATTAAACATATAATTAATTGTTACATTGAATAACACAATTGTTGAAACATATGATTAATTGGTAAAGCAAAAGAATTAATCAACAATTTTCAACTTGGGGACACATGTGATTACTCTACTATGGGTATGACTTAACAGAGCCTTAATTCTTCAAGTGTTACATTTGCTGCCAGCCTGGAATGCTCTTGTCACAACCAGGCTTCCACACGTAATATTTCCACGGGGATAATAACCTAGATTAACACACTTAATCTCGTGTCACTGATGGTCCACAGGACAGGTGGAGGACTGTGTGGCGTCCCGTACCCTTCAGGAGGGAGAGGGTGTGGACGACGTCTTAACTAACCCATGGCCTAGGAGATACTATTAAAATGTGTTTTTGGGGCGTGAGGCGATGAACAACACTGTCTCAATGGCCTCTCCCTATAGGCTGGCTAACATAACACTAATGGAAAATATATGTCGTAGTCATGGCTCACCGGGTGTCTTATCTCCAGTAAAACAAACTTTGTTGTTGGTTGCGTGGGTAAGCCTAAAGCAACCCATGATGCCTAGGAACTACATGTACTTCATTAGTAGTGGTGTGCTCTATCCATGGGGCCCCTAATATCGTGGGGCCCCTAATATCGTGGGGCCCTGGTCAACTGGCCAGCGTGCCCATGCGGTAAGATGGCTCTGCAGACGCCATGTTGTTACTCATCGGGTGGGAAGTCTTGTCGTTCTCTCTCCCATATAATTTATAAAAATGCTTATCCAATTGTAAACATGTATGGCAGTTTGTATTGAATTAACATCATTATCATCATCATTTTCATCATCATTATCATCATCATCATCTACAGTTCGAGCACCAACTTTTTCATCAGCTGGGTAACAACATGGCCCAGCTATATGCCATCAGGTGAGGGGCTGGGGGAAACTAATTTATCAATGGCTACTTGACTCTCTTGATTTAATATTTATTTAGTAAACCCTTAAAATCTTATTAAATGAAACGATATTAAATTAAAACGTTTGTAAAAATAAGATAACACTATGTTTTATTTATTGTTCCTATTTATATTATTAATAGTTGTTTCTATGGGATATTTTAAATTAAGTAACAAATTCAACCCAACTTGACCAATTAGGAACCTAACCCAACTTGAGACAGAGATTTATACATGTCAACTTTTCAGAACAGAATCCATATGAATACTGACGACCCACTATACATGTTTAGGGTGTATACATCTATCTATCTATCTATCTATCTATTTATCTATCTACAGGCCAGGGGAGTTGAAGCATGAACAGCGTGGGGACGTGACCCTCGACTCCTGCAATGCGTCCGACACCAGAT